AAAATTTGCGTTTTTTTTTTTCCTGGCAGAAAATGGGGCGGGAAAAAAATCCCCCCGATCCCCCCTAAAAACTGTCAGTGTAATGAGGAACCCTCCCATGGACACAAGGAGATTCCAAACCACAATCTGCTATCTGCTCCACAATACACAATGAGATCCACCGAGAATCCTAGCACCACAATACACAATGAGAGTACACCGCGATCTGCTCCACAATAACACCATGAGATACACCGCGATCTGCTCCACAATACACAATGAGATACACCGAGAATCTCTCTCACAATACACCACTGAGATACACCGCGATCTGCTCCACAATACACAATGAGAATACACCTGAGATCTGCTCCACAATACACAATGAGATCCACCACGATCTGCTCCACAATACACAATGAGAATACACCGAGATCTGCTCCACAATACACAATGAATACACCGGATCTGCTCCACAATACACAATGAGATACACCGCGATCTGCTCCACAATACACAATGAGATACACCGCGATCTGCTCCACAATACACAATGAGATACACCGTGATCTGCTCCACAATACACAATGAGATACACCGCGATCTGCTCCACAATGAGATACACGAATCTGCTCCACAATACACAATGAGATACACCGCGATCTGCTCCACAATACACAATGAGATACACCGTGATCTGCTCCACAATGAGATACACCGCGATCTGCTCCACAATACACAATGAGATACACCGTGATCTGCTCCACAATACACCACAATGAGATACACCGTGATCTGCTCCACAATACACAATGAGATACACCAAAGAGATACGATCTGCTCCACAATACACAATGAGATACACCCGCGATCTGCTCCACAATGAGATACACCGCGATCTGCTCCACAATACACAATGAGATACACCGCAATCTGCTCCACAATGAGATACACCGCGATCTGCTCCACAATACACAATGAGATACACCGTGATCTGCTCCACAATACACCATGAGATACACCGTGATCTGCTCCACAATACACAATGAGATACAATCTGACAATACACAATGAGATACACCGCAATCTGCTCCACAATACACAATGAGATACACCGCGATCTGCTCCATCAATGAGATACACCGCGATCTGCTCCACAATACACAATGAGATACACCGCAATCGCTCCACAATGAGATACACCGCGATCTGCTCCACAATACACAATGAGATACACCGTGATCTGCTCCACAATACACCATGAGATACACCGTGATCTGCTCCACAATACACAATGAGATACACCGCGATCTGCTCCACAATACACAATGAGATACACCGCAATCTGCTCCACAATACACAATGAGATACACCGCGATCTGCTCCACAATGAGATACACCGCGATCTGCTCCACAATACACAATGCGATACACCGTGATCTGCTCCACAATGAGATACACCGCGATCTGCTCCACAATACACAATGAGATACACCGTGATCTGCTCCACAATACACCATGAGATACACCGCGATCTGCTCCACAATACACAATGAGATACACCGCGATCTGCTCCACAATGAGATACACCGCGATCTGCTCCACAATACACAATGAGATACACCGCGATCTGCTCCACAATACACAATGAGATACACCGCGATCTGCTCCACAATGAGATACACCGCGATCTGCTCCACAATACACAATGAGATACACCGTGATCTGCTCCACAATACACCATGAGATACACCGCGATCTGCTCCACAATACACAATGAGATACACCGAGATCTTCTCCACAATACACAATGAGATACACCGCGATCTGCTCCACAATACACAATGAGATACACCGAGATCTTCTCCACAATACACAATGAGATACACCAAGATCTGCTCCACAATACACAATGAGATACAAAATGAGATACACAATGAGATACACAGTGAGATACTTGTGGTTTATTTGTTTCTTAAGGCCTGTAAAGCACCCCTCCCAGGAACACGGGAGGAGGAAGCTCTTACATACGTCTTCTACTGTAAATAACGACAAGGAGATCGATTTCTGCCATCAAATATAATACTGCGATGGTGTGAAATGTCAAAGCTGCATTCATATCAAATACTATCCATTATAACTGAAAACCGGGGGAAATGTTTTCTTCTGTAACCAAACTGTATCTTTCCCAATGGTGTACGTATGAGTTGTATCAAGTTGTATCGAGTTGTATGGAGCTGCATCAAATTGTATCGAGTTGTATGGAGCTGCATCAAATTGTATCGAGTTGTTTCAAGTTGTACTGAGTTGTATCAAATTGTATCATGTTGTATTGAATTGCATCAAATTGTATCGAGTTTTATGGAGTTGCATCAAATTGTATTGAGTTGTATCGAGCTGTATTGAGTTGTATTGCGTTTTATTGAGTTGTATTAAATTGTATCACGTTGTATTTAGTTGCATCAAATTTTATCAAGTTGTATCGAGCTGTATTGAGTTGTATCAAATTGTGTCGAGTTGTTTCAAGTTGCATCAAGTTGTACTGAGTTGTATTAAGTTGTACTGAGTTGTATTTTGTTGTATCCAGTTGTATTGAGTTGTATCGAGCTGTATTGAGTTGTATCAAATTGTATCAAGTTGTACTGAGTTGTATTTTGTTATATCCAGCTGTATCGAGTTGTATCAAATTGTATCGAGTTGTATCAAATTGTATCGAGTTGTATTGAGTCGTATTCAGAACCATGACAAGCGTTACATAGGCAGAAGGTAAAGTAACAATGTACTTAAAGGCCACATCAGCCTGACATCAGATCTGTTCTTGCCTCCAGATGAATATTTCCTCTGCCACACCTGGAACACGTTGCTCGTGTGGCTCAAAGAAAGAGAAGTCAGTCTCTAGAACACTGCCGCTGCCTTTGAAGCCTGCGAGGCTTTTCTCCGGGACGACTCCTCGGCCATCCTAAATGACGCTCTTGTTTCCTTTACATTTCTTGACGGAGAACCAGACTGTGGTGGAGACGTAGAAGAGGCAGCAGAGACAGGCGAAGACGGAGGCCACCACGTAGGTCTTGTAGTAACAGGCGCCCCTGTAGTTGGGGATGTCGCAATAAGAATGGTTATCGATAGTGACAATGACGATGGCCGTGGCGGCGATGTGAAGGGCAGTGGCCAGGGCATCGTAGATGAGGTTGGTGAGGAGCCATCGCTCACCTCCAAGTAACGGGACCAGGTCCTGCTTGTCCAGCAGGGTGATGAAATAAAAGAGCAGGGTGACCAGCCAGAAGAAGACAAAGACGAACAGGGCGAAGCGAACGGTGTTGTTGAAGTTGCTGGAGGCGATGGAGATCCAGACGGCGGCACCGGTGGCGAGCTGTAGAAGTCTCACCACCCCGGGGAAGCTTCGGAGGAATTCCTTGTTGGCACTGAGAGAACTCCTGGTGGCTTGGGCAGACATTGTACGGACTGCAGACAACTGACCCGGGAGAAGAGGAGAGAAGACCTAATCCAAAGTGAACTCCTGCAGCTCAGATCTTCTCTCCAGGGTCTAGAGGAGCGGCCAGGAGACTCATGCGATTCCAGCTCCGGTCTATACGGTGGAATCCCTCTCCGAGCTCTTTTTTGTGCTTGTTGGGATGAAGGGTGTGGGCAGTCCCACCGTGTAACTCAACGCCTCTTGTTCCTCTGCTGACATCATCAGCATGTAACTTCCTTTCCTCAACATCTGCTTGAAAGGGTTCAACAGATTCCCAGCCACTCTCTAGTATTGGCTGCTAGACACCCACAGGGAAGAAAAATATATCTGAAATCTATTTTTAAAATATTCTTCCCAAATATATTTGAAATGCTACAACTTTGGCCGTATTCAATATATTAAAAAAATAAAAATCTAATATATATATATATACTGCATATTGAAATGTTCTTACTACAAAATATACGCATTTCAACATGCAGTATGTGTGTGTGTATATGTGAAACTCGAAAAATGAGAATATGGTGCAAAAGTTCATTGATTTCAGTGCAGCAACTTAAAAGGTGAAACTAATATATGAGACTCATTCCATGCAAAGCAAGATAGTTCAAGCCGTGATTTGTCATCATTGTGATTAGAGATGAGCGAATTATTCAAAAATTTGATTCGGCTGATTCGCCGAATTTGAGGAAGAAATTCGATTCGATGCGAATTTATTCGCTGCGAATTTAACTTATAAAAAGGGTTTCTAGGCTTCAGAGAGCCTTTATATTAGTGCTGAACACTGTACCTTTAATTTAAATGCCCTTGGAGATGAGGAAGGAGAAGGAGAAGGAGAAGGATGAGAAGAAGGAGAAGGATGAGAAGAAGGAGAAGGATGAGAAGAAGGAGAAGGATGAGAAGAAGGAGAAGGAGAAGGAGAAGGATGAGAAGAAGGAGAAGGAGAAGGATGAGAAGAAGGAGAAGGATGAGAAGAAGGAGAAGGATGAGAAGAAGGAGAAGGATGAGAAGAAGGAGAAGGAGAAGGATGAGAAGAAGGAGAAGGAGAAGGATGAGAAGAAGGAGAAGGAGAAGGATGAGAAGAAGGAGAAGGATGAGAAGAAGGAGAAGGAGAAGGATGAGAATAAGGAGAAGGATGAGAAGAAGGATGAGAAGAAGGAGAAGGATGAGAAGAAGGATGAGAAGAAGGAGAAGGATGAGAAGAAGGAGAAGGATGAGAAGAAGGATGAGAAGAAGGAGAAGGATGAGAAGAAGGAGAAGGATGAGAAGAAGAAGGATGAGAAGAAGAAGAAGGATGAGAAGAAGGAGAAGGATGAGAAGGATGAGAAGAAGGAGAAGGATGAGAAGAAGAAGGATGAGAAGAAGAAGAAGGATGAGAAGAAGGAGAAGGATGAGAAGAAGAAGAAGGATGAGAAGAAGAAGAAGGATGAAAAGAAGAAGGATGAGAAGAAGAAGAAGGATGAGAAGAAGGAGAAGGATGAGAAGAAGGAGAATTCCAAGCCGGCAAAAAGTGTATCTGCAGAGCTCCGCTATTTCTTAGCGGAGCTCTGCAGATACACTTAGCGGAGCTCTGCAGATACACTTTTTGCCGGCTTGGAATTCTTCTTATTTTCATCCTACTTCTTCTTCTTCTTCATCCTCTTCTTCTTCTGGATGAGATGAGGATGAGGATGAAGAAGAAGAAGAAGAAGAAGTAGGATGAAAATAAGAAGAATTCCAAGCCGGCAAAAAGTGTATCTGCAGAGCTCCGCTAAGTGTATCTGCAGAGCTCCGCTATTTCTGACAGTTCATTGACATTCACTCCATACAGCGGTTGAAACATTGTATCTATTTGTTTCCATAAATGGAAACAAATAGATACAATGTTTCAACCGCTGTAAATGTGAATGTCAGAGAACTGTCAGAAATAGCGGAGCTCTGCAGATACACTTAGCGGAGCTCTGCAGATACACTTTTTGCCGGCTTGGAATTCTTCTTATTTTCATCCTACTTCTTCTTCTTCTTCATCCTCATAAGAAGAAGAAGAATGAAAAGAAGAAGAAGAAGAATGAAAAGAAGAATGAAAAGAAGAAGAAGAATGAAAAGAAGAAGAAGAAGAATGAAAAGAAGAATGAGAAGAATGAAAAGATTCTTCTTCTTTTCATTCTTCTTCTTTTTATTCTTCTTCTTCTTCTTTTCATTCTTCTTTTCATTCTTCTCATTCTTCTTTTCATTCTTCTCATTCTTCTTTTCATTCTTCTTCTCATTCTTCTTTTCATTCTTCCTCTTCTTTTCATTCTTCTTTTCATTCTTCTCATTCTTCTTTTCATTCTTCTTCTCATTCTTCTTTTCATGAAGAAGAAAAGAAGAATGAGAAGAATGAAAAGAAGAATGAAAAGAAGAAGAAGAAGAATGAAAAGAAGAATGAAAAGAAGAATGAGAAGAATGAAAAGAAGAAGGAAAAGAAGAATGAAAAGAAGAAGAAGAATGAAAAGAAGAAGAAGAATGAAAAGAAGAATGAAAAGAAGAAGAAGAATGAAAAGAAGAATGAAAAGAAGAAGAAGAATGAAAAGAAGAAGAAGAAGAATGAAAAGAAGAATGAAAAGAAGAAGAAGAATGAAAAGAAGAAGAAGAATGAAAAGAAAAAGAAGAAGAATGAAAAGAAAAAGAAGAAGAAGAAAAAAGAATGAAAAGAAGAAGAAGAATGAAAAGTAGAAGAAGAAGAATGAAAAGAAGAAGAAGAAGAATGAAAAGAAGAATGAGAAGAATGAAAAGAAGAAGAAGAAGAATGAAAAGAAGAATGAAAAGAAGAAGAATGAAAAGAAGAAGAAGAAGAATGAAAAGAAGAAGAATGAAAAGAAGAAGAAGAATTAAAAGAAGAATGAAAAGAAGAAGAAGAATGAAAAGAAGAATGAAAAGAAGAATGAGAAGAATGAAAAGATTCTTCTCCTTCTTTTCATTCTTCTTCTTTTCATTCTTCTTCTTCTTCTTTTCATTCTTCTCATTCTTCTTGGGCCTCTCCATTCTTACTCCATACTCGGGGGTCCTTGTGCCTCTCCATTCTTCCTCCATACTCGGGGGTCCTTGTGCCTCTCCATTCTTCCTCAATACTCGGGGTCCTTGGGCCTCTCCATTCTTCCTCCATACTCGGGGTCCTTGGGCCTCTCCATTCTTCCTCCATACTGGTCCTTGGGCCTCTCCATTCTTCCTCCATACTCAGGGTCCTTGGTTTCCAAATGAGATGCAAAAGTTGCTCTCATCAGAAAAGAGGACTTTGGACCACTGAGCACCAGACCAGGTCTGTTTTTCTTTAGCCCAGGTAAGACGATTCTGACGTTGTTTGTTGTTCAGGAGCGGCTTGACAAGAGGAATACGACATTTGAAGCCCATGTCCAGGATCCGTCTGTGTGTGGTGGCTCTTGATGCACTGACTCCAGCCCCAGTCCATTCCTTGTGAAAGTCCCCAACACTTTTGAATGGCCTTTTCCTGACAATCCTCTCCAGGCTGCGGTCATCCCTGCTGCTTGTGCACCTTTTTCTTCCACACTTTTCCCTTCCACATAACTTTCTATTAATGTGCTTTGATACAGCACTTTGGGAACATCCAACTTCTTCTGCAATTCCCTTTTGAGGCTTTCCCTCCTTATGGAGGGTGTCAGTGATGGTGTCAGGTCTACTGAACCAGACTGAGAGACCATTTAAAGGCTCAGGAACCCTTTGCAGGTGTTATGGATTAATGAGCTGATTAGAGTGGAACACTTTGAGCCGAGATTATTCCATCTTTTCACAATATTTTCATTTTCTGAGATTGTGGATTTGGGGTTTTCATGAGCTGTAAGCCATAATCATCACAATGATGACAAATCACGGCTTGAACTATCTTGCTTTGCATGGAATGAGTCTCATATATTAGTGTCACCTTTTAAGTTGCTGCACTGAAACAAATGAACTTTTGCACCATATTCTCATTTTTCGAGTTTCACCTGTATATATATATATATACACACACTGTGCGCTTCAGCATGTGCTGACCCCGCTCTGTCATGTGACGTGGCCTTTCCACTTGGCACAATGTAGTCAGGCAAGTATCGTTCTCCTGGCAACCGCCAAACCCAGACACGTCCATCGGATTGCTAGACAGAGAAGCGTGATTGGTCACTCCAGAAAACACGTCTCCACTGCTCTAGAGTCCAGTGGTGGCGTGCTTTACACCACGGCATCCGACGCTTTGCATTGCACTTGGTGATGGAAGGCTTGGATGCAGCTGCTCGGCCATGGAAACCCATTCCATGAAGCTCTCTACGCACTGTTGTTGGGCTCATCTGAAGGCCAAACCAAGTTTGGAGGTCTTTAGCTATTGACTCTGCAGGCAGTTGGCGACTTCTGCGCACTGTGCGCTTCAGCATGCGCTGACCCCGCCCTGTCATGTGACGTGGCCTAACACTTGGTGGCTGAGTGGCTGTTGTTCCCAGTTGCTTCCACTTTGTTATAATCCCACTAACAGTTGAGCGTGGAATATTTAGTAGCCAGGAAATGTCACGGATGGACTTATTGCCCAGGTGGCCACCTATCACGGGACCACGCTTGGAGTCACTGAGCTCCTGAGAGCGACCCATTCTTTCACCAATGTTTGTAGAAGCAGTCTGCATGCCTAGGGGCTGGATTGTATACACCTGTGTCCTGGAGGGGATTGGAACACCGGAATCACATGATATGGAGAGGATTGGAACACCTGAATCACATGATATGGAGGGGATTGGAACACCTGAATCACATGATTGGGAGGGGATTGGAACACCTGAATCACATGATTGGGAGGGGATTGGAACACCTGAATCACATGACATGGAGGGGATTGGAACACCTGAATCACATGATTGGGAGGGGATTGGAACACTTGAATCACATGATTGGGAGGGGATTGGAACACCTGAATCACATGACATGGAGGGGATTGGAACACCTGAATCACATGATTGGGAGGGGATTGGAACACCTGAATCACATGACATGGAGGGGATTGGAACACACCTGAATCACATGATATGGAGGGGATTGGAACACCTGAATCACATGATTGGGAGGGGATTGGAACACCTGAATCACATGATTGGGAGGGGATTGGAACACCTGAATCACATGATTGGGAGGGGATTGGAACACCTGAATCACATGACATGGAGGGGATTGGAACACCTGAATCACATGACTGGGAGGGGATTGGAACACCTGAATCACATGACATGGAGAGGATTGGAACACCTGAATCACATGACTGGGAGGGGATTGGAACACCTGAATCACATGATTGGGAGAGGATTGGAACACCTGAATCACATGACATGGGGGATTGAAACACCTGAATCACATGATTGGGAGGGGATTGGAACACCTGAATCACATGATTGGGAGGGGATTGGAACACCTGAATCACATGATTGGGAGAGGATTGGAACACCTGAATCACATGATTGGGAGGGGATTGGAACACCTGAATCACATGACATGGAGGGGATTGAAACACCTGAATCACATGATTGGGAGGGGATTGGAACACCTGAATCACATGATTGGGAGGGCGGGGACAATACGTTGGGCAATATAGTGTATATATATATATATCATAGTTTATAACTTTCATGTAAACCAATTAATATACATTTTCTGGGATTTTTTTTATCACAGACATGGAGCAGAATACATTTTGACCTAAATTTATACAGAAATATATTTTTAAATTTTTTTTAATTAGAGATGTTTTAGAACAGAAAATACGTTTTTTTTTTTTCATTTTTGTTTTTTTTTTTTTTTTATAGCGCAAAAAATTAAAAGAAATACCCCAGAGGCGATCAAATACCACCAAAAGAAAGCTCTATTTGTGTGAAAAAGAAATAATTGTAAGCTCCAAGGAGCAGAGCCCTCGAACCCTCGTGTATCGCATTGTATTGTTACTGTGCTGTCTCGTGTATCGCATTGTATTGTTACTGTGTCGTGTATCGCATTGTATTGTTACTGTGCTGTCTCGTGTATCGCATTGTATTGTTACTGTGCTGTCTCGTGTATCGCATTGTATTGTTACTGTGCTGTCTCGTGTATCGCATTGTATTGTTACTGTGCTGTCTCGTGTATCGCATTGTATTGTTACTGTGCTGTCTCGTGTATCGCATTGTGTATTGTTGTACTGTGCTGTCTCGTGTATCGCATTGTATTGTTACTGTGCTGTCTCGTGTATCGCATTGTATTGTTACTGTGCTGTCTCGTGTATCGTATTGTATTGTTACTGTGCTGTCTCGTGTATCGCATTGTATTGTTACTGTCGTCTCGTGTATCGTATTGTTACGTGCATTGTATTGTGTCTCGTGTACTGTGTGCTGTCTGTATTGTTACTGTGCTGTCTCGTGTATCGCATTGTATTGTTACTGTGCTGTCTCGTGTATCGCATTGTATTGTTACTGTGCTGTCTCGTGTATCGCATTGTATTGTTACTGTGCTGTCTCGTGTATCGCATTGTATTGTTACTGTGCTGTCTCGTGTATCGCATTGTATTGTTACTGTCTGTCTCGTGTATCGCATTGTATTGTTACTGTGCTGTCTCGTGTATCGCATTGTATTGTTACTGTGCTGTCTCGTGTATCGCATTGTATTGTTACTGTGCTGTCTCGTGTATCGCATTGTATTGTTACTGTGCTGTCTCGTGTATCGCATTGTATTGTTACTGTGCTGTCTCGTGTATCGCATTGTATTGTTACTGTGCTGTCTCGTGTATCGCATTGTATTGTTACTGTGCTGTCTCGTGTATCGCATTGTATTGTTACTGTGCTGTCTCGTGTATCGCATTGTATTGTTACTGTGCTGTCTCGTGTATCGCATTGTATTGTTACTGTGCTGTCTCGTGTATCGCATTGTATTGTTACTGTGCTGTCTCGTGTATCGCATTGTATTGTTACTGTGCTGTCTCGTGTATCGCATTGTATTGTTACTGTGCTGTCTCGTGTATCGCATTGTATTGTTACTGTGCTGTGTCTCGTGTATCGCATTGTATTGTTACTGTGCTGTCTCGTGTATCGCATTGTATTGTTACTGTGCTGTCTCGTGTATCGCATTGTATTGTTACTGTGCTGTCTCGTGTATCGCATTGTATTGTTACTGTGCTGTCTCGTGTATCGCATTGTATTGTTACTGTGCTGTCTCGTGTATCGCATTGTATTGTTACTGTGCTGTCTCGTGTATCGCATTGTATTGTTACTGTGCTGTCTCGTGTATCGCATTGTATTGTTACTGTGCTGTCTCGTGTATCGCATTGTATTGTTACTGTGCTGTCTCGTGTATCGCATTGTATTGTTACTGTGCTGTCTCGTGTATCGCATTGTATTGTTACTGTGCTGTCTCGTGTATCGCATTGTATTGTTACTGTGCTGTCTCGTGTATCGCATTGTATTGTTACTGTGCTGTCTCGTGTATCGCATTGTATTGTTACTGTGCTGTCTCGTGTATCGCATTGTATTGTTACTGTGCTGTCTCGTGTATCGCATTGTATTGTTACTGTGCTGTCTCGTGTATCGCATTGTATTGTTACTGTGCTGTCTCGTGTATCGCATTGTATTGTTACTGTGCTGTCTCGTGTATCGCATTGTATTGTACTGTGCTGTCTCGTGTATCGCATTGTATTGTTACTGTGCTGTCTCGTGTATCGCATTGTATTGTTACTGTGCTGTCTCGTGTATCGCATTGTATTGTTACTGTGCTGTCTCGTGTATCGCATTGTATTGTTACTGTGCTGTCTCGTGTATCGCATTGTATTGTTACTGTGCTGTCTCGTGTATCGCATTGTATTGTTACTGTGCTGTCTCGTGTATCGCATTGTATTGTTACTGTGCTGTCTCGTGTATCGCATTGTATTGTTACTGTGCTGTCTCGTGTATCGCATTGTATTGTTACTGTGCTGTCTCGTGTATCGCATTGTATTGTTACTGTGCTGTCTCGTGTATCGCATTGTATTGTTACTGTGCTGTCTCGTGTATCGCATTGTATTGTTACTGTGCTGTCTCGTGTATCGCATTGTATTGTTACTGTGCTGTCTCGTGTATCGCATTGTATTGTTACTGTGCTGTCTCGTGTATCGCATTGTATTGTTACTGTGCTGTCTCGTGTATCGCATTGTATTGTTACTGTGCTGTCTCGTGTATCGCATTGTATTGTTACTGTGCTGTCTCGTGTATCGCATTGTATTGTTACTGTGCTGTCTCGTGTATCGCATTGTATTGTTACTGTGCTGTCTCGTGTATCGCATTGTATTGTTACTGTGCTGTCTCGTGTATCGCATTGTATTGTTACTGTGCTGTCTCGTGTATCGCATTGTATTGTTACTGTGCTGTCTCGTGTATCGCATTGTATTGTTACTGTGCTGTCTCGTGTATCGCATTGTATTGTTACTGTGCTGTCTCGTGTATCGCATTGTATTGTTACTGTGCTGTCTCGTGTATCGCATTGTATTGTTACTGTGCTGTCTCGTGTATCGCATTGTATTGTTACTGTGCTGTCTCGTGTATCGCATTGTATTGTTACTGTGCTGTCTCGTGTATCGCATTGTATTGTTACTGTGCTGTCTCGTGTATCGCATTGTATTGTTACTGTGCTGTCTCGTGTATCGCATTGTATTGTTACTGTGCTGTCTCGTGTATCGCATTGTATTGTTACTGTATTGTTACTGTCTGTCGTGTATCGCATTGTATTGTTACTGTACTGTCTCGTGTATCGCATTGTATTGTTACTGTACTGTCTCGTGTATCGCATTGTATTGTTACTGTACTGTCTCGTGTATCGCATTGTATTGTTACTGTGCTGTCTCGTGTATCGCATTGTATTGTTACTGTGCTGTCTCGTGTATCGCATTGTATTGTTACTGTGCTGTCTCGTGTATCGCATTGTATTGTTACTGTGTCTGTCTGTATCGCATTGTATTGTTACTGTGCTGTCTCGTGTATCGCATTGTATTGTTACTGTGCTGTCTCGTGTATCGCATTGTATTGTTACTGTGCTGTCTCGTGTATCGCATTGTATTGTTACTGTGCTGTCTCGTGTATCGCATTGTATTGTTACTGTATTGTCTCGTTATCGCATTGTATTGTTACTGTGCTGTCTCGTGTATCGCATTGTATTGTTACTGTGCTGTCTCGTGTATCGCATTGTATTGTTACTGTGCTGTCTCGTGTATTGTATCCCATTATAATGTACAGCGCTGAGAAAACTATCGGCACTTTATAAATACTGTGTAATAATAACAGATTTCACTTGGGTACAGTGTTGCATGACCGTGCAACTGTCAGTAAAAGATCGCGCAGTGCCGAACAGCAAAAAAAATGGCCTGGTCATGAAGGGGGTAAAACGGTTAAAGTGTTTGTAAACCCTTCCATATACTCAGCGAGGTGACTGGCCTCAGGTGATACACAGAGATGAAACAAATCCTCCTACATAAGTTGTACCTGTTTATCTGCAGCCTTCTCTTTTCTACATGCGCTGAATTTATAAAGCTTTTCTGAGAGTTCAGAAAAAAAAAGGGGGGAGCGGGAGAGCTGAAGTTACTCTCTGCAGAGCTCAGTGAGGAGAGTTGTAGCACAGATGATAGAATGATCATCACAGATCCAGGGGCGGACTGACCATTTGGGCACTGCCCGAGGGACCGGAGTCATTAGAGGGCCCCATGAGATGCCCCTGATACCTTTCATAGGCTTTTTTGGGTGTGGTTTGAATGTGGGCGAGGACACAGGGGCCCTATGATCCCGTATTGCCCGGGGGCTCCATGAATTGTCAGTTCACCCTTGCACAGATCTCATCTTCCTGTATATGAACACAGTAATAAATAGCCAGAGAACCTCGCTGGTGACTAATAACTGACACGAAACCAACAACTGGAACTCGGGGGTGGGGGGGGGCGGTAATCATTCACTAATGCCGCCCATAGACGGGTCGAAAATCAGCCGATTCTGTTGGCCAGAAAAAAAATCGGCCGATTTTCGCATTGTTAGTGGGTTAATTGGTCAGCCATTTTCAGGCTTTTTCCACATTTTTTTATCGGGCATGTTGGAAAATTTGCGGCCGATTTTGACGATTGGCCGATTTTCCCGGGAATGATGGGAGAAGAAGAATGAGAAGGAGAAGAAGAAGGAGAAGCAGAAGAAGGAGAAGGA